ACACCTTTCTGGGCCGTACTCGCCGTCGTGATCGTGGCCATTACGGCGATCGTGCACGTGGTCGCGACCGTGGTCGTACTCGTGGTCGTGCTCGAGGCCGCACTCGTGCATCTTAGCGTGGTCGAAGTCTCGGTCGGCCTCGGGAAATGTGGTATGGGCAAGTGGAGGTCAGCGGGCGTGAGGGCCGTAAGGGCGCCTTCGCCACCGTAGCTGCCACTCACAGCCGTAGGTCGATGTGAGACGGTGAGCTGGTCGATGCGGGAGGCGATGAACTGGTCGGCGCGGGAGTCGGTGAGCTGTTCGGAGCGGGAGTCGGTGCCCTGGTCGGCGCGGGAGTCGGAGAGCTGGTCAGCACCAGCGTCGCTGGTCGATGAGGGAGCCGCAAGCTGGTCGGTGCGGCAGGCCGCGATCTGGTCGGTGCGGGAGCCAGTGAGCTGGTCGATGAGGGAGCTGGCAAATGCTGGCTGTGGCCGCCCAGGTGATGCTGGTGATGGTTGTGAGTTTGCACATGCTGGATGTGTCTCACGAAGGAAATGCTGGTCACAAACGTGGTGCAGCCAATGCTGGATATGGTCGCCATGGTGGTGCGGGTCGTGGTTGTGGGCTTGCACATGCTGGATGTGGTTACGGTGGAGGTGCTTGTCACAAACGTGGTGCTGCAAATGCTGGATGTGGTCACCGTGGTGGTGCGGGTCATGGTTGTGGGTTTGCACATGCTGGATGTGGTTACGGCGGAGGTGGTGGTCACAAAAGTGATGCTGCAACTCCGTGATGTGGTCGCCCTGGTGGTGCTGCTCATGGTTATAGGTTTGCACATGCTGGACGTGGTCAGGGTGGAAGTGCTGATCGCAAACGTGGTGCTGCACATGCTGGATGTGGTCGCTGTGGTTGCGCTGGTCATGGTTGTGGGTTTGCAAATGATGGATGTGATCACGGTGGAAGTGCTGGTCACAAACGTGGTGCAGCCAATGCTGGATGTGGTCGCCATGGTGGTGCGGGTCGTGGTTGTGGGTTTGCATATGCTGGATGTGGTCACGGTGGAGGTGCTGGTCACAAACGCGGTGCTGCAGATGCTGGATGTGGTCACCGTGGTGGTGCTGGTCATGGTTGTAAGTTTGCACATGCTGGGTGTGAACGCGGTGGAGGTGCTGGTCACAAACGGTGTTCTGCACATGATCGATGTGGTCAGTGTGGAGGTAACGGTGGAGGTACTGGTCAGTGTTGTGGTGCACCACCGTGGACACCTCCGACAAGTGTAGCAGCAAAACGCCAACCAGTACCTCCACCGTTACCTTCACACTGACCACATCGAGCATGTGCAGAACCACGTTTGTGACTGCTGTGATGAAAAGTCGGGTAAACGTAAAACTCGGGTACGGGGGACTCGGGCTGGCCTGACGGGGCCATCAAAAAAATGACGAAACCCAATATGGAATTTGACGCGAACTCCCGCTGCAAACATCCCACGACAACCGGACCGTCAAAATCCAGGACGCGCTCGTCAAAAAACCGTCGGCTAACCCGAGTTCCGGCTTAGTTTCTCGAGTCTCACGCTTCCCAGAAAAAATCGACGGACATGCGGCGGCGTTCAGTGAGTGAACTTTCTTTAACGCACGGTGTCGCCGTGGCAACGAGCTCGCGGACTCGTGGGCCAAGAAAGGTGCGAAGCTCTGGCGCGTCCCCCCAGAGAAGACCTTGTTTGTGGAAGCATGCGAGACCGGGGCCCGGCAGCTTGTCCACTGGGGTAGTCTGCTTTACTCGTGGACTGGGGGACAACGAGGCTTGGGACCCGACGGAGTCAGTGGCACAGCTGACGTTGTCCCCGACCTGGCCTGACATTGAATCGGACCACGATGTGAATGTTGCTATCCGAGACCGTGAGCAGCTCGGATGGAAGCAAGCAGCCTGCGTTCCCCTCCCCACCGTGCTTGAGCCACCGACAAGGGATATGGGTGGGGGGGTTGACGTGGGGGAGGTTCCTGGAAAGCCCTGGCTGTTTCAAGGGCACTCGGTTGTCACATGTGATGTCGGTAAGGTGGGGCTTTGAGCGGGCCTAGTCTCCCTCTCCCTCCCACCGCCGCCGGGCGCCTCCTCCCTCCCCTCTTGCATGGTGGCCTAATTCGCGTTTCGTGCACACACCAACGCCCGATCGCCAGCGCAGTGACTCGGTCTAGCCGCCGACGGAAAAATGATGTCGGTGAAGCCTCTGACGAGCTCCCGCCCGTACTTGTTCTGCAAATGGTGTGGTGCCTAGGGTCCGAACGCCCCAAGAGGGCCTCAAGACGCCCTTTTGGAGACTCCGAGGGGAGGGGGGGGGGCGTGAAGAGGGGGCGGGGGAGGGGCGAGTTTCTCCCCCTCCGCCACCTTTGTGAGCCCTGGGGCCCAAGAGGCCTCCCAGACCCCTCCAAGACCCCAAGAGGGCCCCAGGACGGCCACGAGGCCCCACCAGGGGGCCCTCAGAGAGCTCCCTAAGCTCAGGATAGCCTCCGACAGCCTCTAG